CAGATTCTCAGTAGAAAGATTGCCCTTTCTCCTATCTTTATACTATGCTAGCACAGCCTCATTAGTTACTATTCCCTTTTATAGTATTTATACTAGCACAGCCTCATTGGTCATTAGTTCTATTTATAGTATTTATGCTAGCACACACTGCCAGCAAAAATTACTCAGACAAGGCTGTCCGAGGTGTTCTTGGACAGTGCAGTCCGAGTTGATCTTGGACTGTGGTTGACCGAGATTTTCTCATCTCAGTCAGCAGTAGTCCGGCACACCAAGATGAGAAAATCTCAGTCAACCATGGTCCGAGATCAACTCGGACTTCACTGTCCGAGAACACCTCAGACAGCCTTGTCTGAGTAATTTTTGCTGGTGGTGACAGCCTCATTGGTCATGATTTCTGTTTATAGTTATTTATGCTAGCACAGCCTCATTGGTTATGATTTCTGTTTATAGTTATTTGTGCTAGCACAGCCTCATTGGTCACTATATCCTTTCATAGTAATTTATGATTACATCTGTATTCATGTGTCTTAACCTATGTTTACTTTTATTATGTAGTGTGCATATGGGCTCTTGACACTGAGCCCTGAGTTGTAGTTTTTGACTTAATGTGTATATGTTTACACATATGTTGTTTACTGTAACTATTACACTACCTGTAATATGTGGTACAGTCTGTGGGACTGCTGGGCAGTCCTCAGGGCTGACAATTGGACTTGTAGGATATGGTTTACTTGGTAGGATTTTTGTTTGGTTTTGTTTGGCCACCTATTTGTGTAAGCAGCTTGGGAAGGGCCAGCATTTGGCCAAATGCTGGACCTGCCCAAATGACAAGCCAGATACCTGCACAGCAGCCTTGGGAGGGTCCAACATTTGGCCAAATGTTGGACCTCATGAGACAATCAGATGGTGCTGAGTCTGGAGCAGTCAATACACAAACCAGAAGTGACAAAGTGAGCTTTTGGTGAGTTGGGTGGACAAAGTGAAATGATTGATGAAGAAGAAAAGAGACCATCATACACCATGCTCCAGACAAGAAGAAGAAGGAGAAATTTCACATGCACATGTCACTGACATGTTGGAAGCACACACAGAAACACAGTAAAAATGTACAGAGAAGCTTTTAGCTCAACAGGACCTGCCCAAAAACCAAGCCAGATACCTGGGCAGTGGCCTCAGGTGGGTCCAGAATTTGGCCAAATATTTTTGAGTTAATGTATGTCAATTTATACAGGCATCCTGTACCTTGTGTGCTTTTACATACACATGTATGTAGCCTTTTATCTAGTTCACTGTAATGTATTTCCTTTTATATTATTATTTTATTTTTCATTGTCACATTATTTTTCTTCCCACCCAGCTACACTACCTTCTACAACCTCAATCCCTCACTACTGTACAGTTGATCAATCCAAAATGATTGATCACAACCTTTCAGATACACTACCTTTCCCAGTCACATCTACACTAATACACTATGTCAGGGGGGAGCTTCTGTTAGGCTACCTCCTGGCTGAGAAGGTTCTAGACTAAGGGCTGAATAAGCCTTGGATGAGTCTACACTGGAGTTCCCCAAGTGTAGACTACAGTTAATTGACCTCTAATGAGAGGGTTTGGATGAAGATCTTGGGACTTACTCCCTGAGGATGACCTGTCTTTGAAACTGGCCAAACAGCTACCTGCAAAATCTATCCTGACTATAGGCCTTGTTGGGAGTTCTATGAATCCTCAACTTTGCTCCTTCCTATAGAAGCTTATTATTTACTCTAATCCTTGGTGAGATCTTACTATCACCAAGGGGTCCTAGAGAGAGGTTGCAATCCTCCTATTGTTTGGTTGAGTTGGACTTCTGTTACTAACACCTGATGGACCTTTGCACTATTGAGTTGATATATTCTATGGAAGATATCCTCAAGTGTGCTAGTGGTTCAATTTGATGGTTGTGGTAGTGTGAGCCACTTGCTTCTGTCTGGCAAGTGACCTCACTACTGTTCAAGGAAAAGGTGTGGGCACAAAGGCCAAAGGTTGGAAATGGGTTCCTCTGCAGCTCAAATGCCTCAGGAACCTCTCCTGAAGAGCCAGATGAGTACTGATCCTATCTAGGGAAAGAACTAGATGTCCACAGGATCAGCAGAGCTTCACACAGATTCCTTTGTATCCTCACTGCCAACATATTTTCATTGCATGGAAGCTTGCTATGTAACATAGCATGTCTTCATGTGATACTATGGACCATTTTTCAAGGTCCCTACCTTGGAAAATAGACCTATTGCATTGCATCTTGGCCTGCTATGTGACATCACATGCCTCCATGTGATGCAATTTTCTTGGTGGTGCATGTTTCTGGATCAAGTACTGACTACTTGGACACTCTATAACTTTTATTTAACTATTGGGTTAATCAATCCCTGTTACAAGACTTGTGTATACAAAATCTCACCTAGAGTGATTGCTACAGCCAATAAGAGTCAGTGAAGAGAAGTACAAGCATTTTTGACTTCTTGTTAAAGCCTGATATATTCAGATAAGGCTTTACACAGTTGATTGTGAACATATCCACATATAACAACTTATTATCATAGTAGCTAGCCTAAATTTTGTGATATCTCTCACTTTTCTTCAGAGCTAGGCTGACATTTACTAGTTTTAAATTGTTCTTATAACTCAAGCTCAAATAAAATCAGTTATATCAATCTTGTCAGCCTAGCTCTAAAAGAAAAGGTGTAATAACTATTAAATCCAGGGCTAGTTACTAAGGAAATAGCTTTTGGGCATGAATATGTTCACAAGCTTATTTGTCAAGCCTTATCTGAATATATCAGGCTCAATAAGAAACCAATTTCATTTGTATTTCTCTTCACTGACTCTTATTGGCCATGGCAATCACTCTAGGTGAGATTTAACACTGCCAGCAAAAATCACTCAGACAAGGCTGTCCAAGAACACCTTGGACTTCACTGTCCAAGAACACCTCGGACAGCCTTGTCCGAGTAATTTTTGCTGGTGGTGTAAGCAAACACCAAGTTGGTGTAGCAGGGATTGATTAACCCAGGATATTTATGGTGATAGAGTGTCCAAGTAGTTAGTACCTGATCCATAAACACTTCTATGACTTTAAATAGAGATGAACAAATCCTACTGACTCTTGTTTTCCTTCTAGAGGGTGGATTTGTCAGGATATAGAGGATTTGGATGAGGTGGAGATCTAAGAGGAGTAATGAAGCAAGAAATTAATCATATAACTCTAGAAATAAGGGTGATCACAAAATTAGACTTCTAGAAATGAAACAGAAAACTTTACTGATAATCCTTGGAATATAAGAGGGGTATATTCATTTGTATACTTGTAAGTATAGTATTTTTTTGATGTAGTGGTAAGTGATGATGGGATTTTACCATGAGCATGGGAATGCCCTTTTATAGAAGTTCTGAGGCCTAGAAGGTACTCTCACCTTTGTGTATTTAGCTTGAATCAATAGCAAGATCCTTGTAGTGTATATTGGATTTACAATCTTGTGGTTACAGTAGTGAATCAACTAGTAGATTTGATCCATCTTGTTTGGGTCAATAATTTGTTGAGACAAGAAAGGTGTGTGCAATGGGATTTGAACCCATGACTACCCCAATCTGGAGGGATTCTCTAACCATTGAGCTACACTGCCAAGAAAATTGCATTGCATAGAGGCATGCTATGTCACATAGCAGGCCAAGATGCAATGCAATAGGTCTATTTTCCAAGGTAGGGACCTTGAAAAATGGTCCATAGTATCACATGAAGACATGCTATGTTACATAGC